GTTTCTGTTCTTATTTTTAAATAAGTCCCTAGATTAGTGCAGAAATTAATTAGAATCAAATGTTCTTAGTCTGCAGCCGTTTCTGTGCATTCCCATTTATTTCAGCAACTTCCTAGCCTTTTTTCTGTTGCATATTGCATACTTAAAATCATGCAGATCTGAGCAGTTAGTAGATGAGCAAGCAATTTTCTAGTCAAAGTACATATGGATATAGAAGTCATTGTATACATATATGGGCATTTATTTCTAGGGAGTTACAAAGGTTGCATGAGGCTACCCTTCCCTATCCCCTCCCCCCCCGCCCCCCCCCCCCCCCGCCCCCCCCCCCCCCAAAAAAAAAAAGGCAATTTATGCTACTGGAAATGTGTATGGAGAGGAAGAGAGAGGTGTGGGTTAGCTGCATCAACAGAAATAACTGAAACGTTGATTTAATATAGGAAAAATGAGCAACAAGCCTACTTGAGAGAGCATAAAATAATTAAGATGCATCTCAGCCTCTGTGGGTGCGTGAAGTCTAACCACACTGCCTTCAAAGGTAATGTAGCCAGTATATATCTGTATTCTGTAATCCTGTGAAAGAACCAAAAGAACATGCTGTTTTAACCTAGGAAAGAATCAAGCATACATTGATCAAATTAGTTTCAAATGTAAATGTAGAATTTGGAGACTGAAACTGGAAAGCTCAACAGAAATTGTAATTGATTGATTATATGCTCATAAAACTGGGAAGCGTATATTGTTTGTTGAATTTTGATTAGTTTTTGCTTTCCTTGATAATTGTACTCTCCTCTGGTTGAACAATGTGTGAGAAAGCTATGTTTGTGAGGCCCTAACAGAGATATTGAGTCCATCAATTCTGAGTGTCCTTGCTGGAGTTAAGCCTGTCACTGTTTCTGAAAGGCTCTACATGCAGAAGCTCACAGCAGAGGCAAGAATCTATGCTATCTTCACCTGAAACAACAGACAAAAGTAGAACTGCTTTTTAATAGTGGTATTTTCAGAACCAAGAAAACAGATTTCTAACCTGTGCTATAACAAAGTATGTAATGCCTCAGGATCATTAGTTAGAATGGATTATACTAGCAGGAAAATCAGGTTATGGAGGAAGGAGGAAAGAAATCAGGAGTCTTTGTTTTTAGGTATGTACGGTTTTAGTCTAGTGTTCATAGTGACTTTTTTTCCCACCATGCCTGATCCCTGCTTTTCCAGCATGATGTTTTTTTTTGAAGAGTTTAACTATGAACCAGAGATCCAACAGTCATCTGCATGCTAGAGGAATGTGTCAAGTAACTGCAAATGTAAAAGGGGTGAGGAATTGATTGAGCATGCTAGGTCCGCTGCCAAAGAAAGGTGTCAGCTTTGGACACCCAGGAAAGGCAGCTAGTCTGTTTATCATATCCAAAGTGAGTTTAATACAGATCAGATTCAGTGCTTGGCTGGAGTATTTACAGAGAAAAAAGATTTTGGTTAGATTTTCAACAAACTGTAGAAGAAAATGTGCAATAAAAAAAAAAAACAACACCAAAAGCACATATATATATATATATAGATCACTTGTTCATAAAATTTGATATTGCTTTTTCCATGATTCCTTGCTGCTCAATTTTTTCACCTTTTAGTGAGAATTTGAGTTGTATAGTTGTATTTTTCCTTAAAGGGATTTTCTCACTCTGATGATTCATGGTGTGATTCTTTTTGCCTTTTTCCTTTTTTCCTTTTAGTTTTGATATCTATGTTACAAAATTTCATCTTTAGTCATTTAATGCTTGCAGTAAAAACAAAGACTTTCACTGGAAATAAAAAGGTTGAAAAGAAAAGTGTGTAGTTGAAGTGGGGTATTTTTTCAGCTTTCTACTAGTCATGACTAAAACCAAAATACGTAAATTTATATATGTATATATATGTATAAGTATAAAACCAAACTATGTAAATTTCCATTTACACAGTCAAGTAGATCCCAGGAATCAAGGAGAGGATGAATAGCCTGTAGTTTTCTGCATCCTCCTACTTGGCCTCCTGGAAGATACGAGTGACACTTGCTTTCTTCTAGTACTCAGGAACCTTTCCTGATCACCAGTCACCACAGCCTTTCAAAGATAATTAGAACTGGAATCTTAGCCTCATCTGTCCTATCCATTAGAACATCTGAACATTATTTTTAGATTTTTTTTTTTAATATAAATATTTCTATTCAACAAAACTAAGGCAGTAAATTCAAACTCATAGTCTGATTATCTCTGGTTTTGATATATGTATATATATATATATATATATGTCTGTATGTATGTTATATTCATGATGAACATTTCTTTAGCGGAAATGGCAACTGCAGATGGTTTTTAAAGTAATGCTAAGGTTTTCCTGTTAATCATCCACTAGACTAGCCTGATTATTTATTTATTTATTTACTCATCCAGAAATAATGAAGTATTAATAGTTAACTTTCACAACCAGCTTTTCCACAACTTTATTTCAAGTATGTTTGTTCTCGTCTGTTGGAGCATAATTGTTCAGAGACAACAATTTTGTTTGTGTAACTTCTAACAGGGCATGTATTCCTTTTTTCTAACACTAAGGGATAGCAGTTACATCTCAGATTGGATCTGCTATGTTTTTTCAGGAATATGCTTGAAATAAATACATAAAGCCAAGCTTTGTTTTGTAGCCCAAGGTGGTAACAGTCATTTACCACATCAGTCTTCCACTTTTGATATAATAATACTGTCACATAATTTTCAGCTCAAGCGGAGGAAAGCTTTTCATTTGGAAGACTCTTCTATGATCATCTCCTATTTCCCCGTCTTTTAAAAAATCTAAAGTAAATTTATCTCATCAAATTTGATAATCTAAATCTCAGAAATCACCTCCAGGCAAGTTTTAGGTCAAGTTGCTCTAAATGTGTCTTATACAGGTAATTAAATCACTCCCTGGAGGTTCGTGTCTTTGACTACTGACTATAGGGATACTAGAAGGAACTAGACAGCTAGTTTAGACCAAAGAATAATATAAATATGTCTGAAATTAGGTGAGAGAAATCTATTAAGTTATGCCAGTATCTTAAAGGTGAGCATTACCACTTTCATGTTTCTTGAGCTACTTCTTTTCTAAAGATTTATTCAAATTATGAGTTGTTAGCTAATTTACAAGTGAAAGTACATTTTGCACTTGCAATTACTTGCTAGTGTTTTTCAGAATTATTAGTAACACTTCTGAAAATGCTCTGAAAGCAGACTTCCTGCATATGCTTTCAGTGAAAACAAGATGGCAATATAGTGATTTATTTTAGCAGTATAAGATAGATTTTGAAATAAATCTTTATTTATTTAACTTTGTGATTTTGAATCTAACCAGTTAAGGAACGAATGATAATCACTGAGAGTAACTATAAAGAGCTTTTTAACCTATACTCCTATGCTGGAAGTTATCTTAAGTAAATGAAATGTCGGTACTAGTATAAACTAGTAGACCATAATGAAAACTTCCATAAAATGCTCTCTACCATTAAAATGACTGAAGTCAAAATTAAAATTTTATGACTTTTTTTTTTTTTTTTTTTTTTTTAATATGTGAAATGAGGCTCCCACATTAATGTCTGGGTACATAATGAAGGACCTAATTCTCTGTATTCCTGAGAATCCACTGGCTTTCATGGCCAATTAAATCGCTTGCTATTCATATGAATAAGCACTGATGTACCTCAATTTATCAATAGAAATCAATAGTTATCATTAGAAATATTAGGGTTGTGCACAGACTAAATAACCATTTATTTCAAATTGTGGTCAGTAGCATTATAATTAGAAGTCCCACAACTGTATTTTTAAATGTTCCTAGAAACTGAAGAGTAAAATATTAAAGGCAGAGTTTCTTCTGCACCACAAGGCACCAGAATATGAAGGTATTGAGGGATTTAGAGTTGTGTTCCTAGTTGACCTACACTATGAAATATTATGTATATTATGTAGCAGTTTCCCCTCTGTGTATGGTGCTATGGCAGAGGTTCAACTTTAATATGTTCAACTGTGGTTCTCTAAGGGTGATACTAAGACTAGAAACGATCTTGTTCCATTTTTGTTCTCTTACTTCCACTCTAAATTTCAATAACTTTTGCAGCTTGATTACACCCTTCTTAGGTTTAAAATAATGATTTTGAGTTCAAAATTATATAGAAAATGATCATTCTGATTTGGAAATTATATAGCACTACTTCCTTCTCCTGAATTCACAGGATTACATAATATCAGTATGTTCATCTAATTCATGAACTACTTGCAAATTAATTGTGTGGAATTATGAAAATTGAGCTTGATGCATATTATCTCCTGTTGTGTGTTACGTTTCTAGACGAGGAGGCATAATGTCATAAGATAGCAGAAGGAAGCTGTCGTGTGACATCTTCCAGGCTTTACTGTATGAGATGTAAGCTGTGTATGAACCCAGATCTTCAAAGAAAAATCTAGTAAACTTTTGTCCCGCCTTATATTTGTTGATAAATTTAATGGTCACTTTTAACCTTGGCTGATATGCTGTACTTAATAAACAGCTCTTTCTGTATTTTGTTGTGAATTTCAAAAGAGCAGGAATAGATGTTGGAAAAAAAGACTTGAGGCTGAAGCGTGTTCCTTTAGCTTTAGGTAGACTTCAAATGTATTCTTTTCTTGAAAGTAATGTGCCATATCTAAAAATACAGGTTAAAATTAAAGAGAAAATGTTTTTAATTGGGTTACTGATAATTGTACATCCAGAAATTAGAATTTGTAAAAGCTGCCAATGAGAAATCATTCTCATAAACTCACAGTTGTAAAGGAATGGGAAATATTCAAAATTACTTGTTATAAAAAGGGAAACACTTCTTTGAAAGGCAAGGTAGTTAATCTTACTTAATAGATGAGAAAAAAATGTTGGCCTTAGTCTCACTAATGTTTTTATGCTTCTTATAAACTCTTTGTAAACATTGCCATAAACAGTAACTTACTGAGCATTTTTATTCTTATTTGCAGAACATTCAAGGTATCTCTAAACATCCAGTGAGAATTGTAAAGAAACAGTATATAAAAGGTAATCTATGTTTTTATTAATTTGAAAAGGTAATTTTATCCCATTATTTTACCAAGTTATTTATTTTAAAGCAGACCAAGAACTCCAATACAAGAAAATAGAATAGACTATTGATTTATATCTTAACATATAAACCAATCACTTTTTGCTTGTTGTTCCTGCAAAAAGTTTGCTGTTTCAGCACTGATCTAAATAGTGTTAAACATTTAGAACTTTATTTCCATGGACAGTCTCACTGTTCCTTTTTCCAGATGAAATTATGCATCTTAAATACATATAACATCCTAGAAGTGTTTTTTGTGGATTCAGCTTATAAGACATTTCAGGAGGAGTTGTTAGAGCTGGGTCGTCTTAATCCTGCACAAAGACAAGCACCAACAGTTTGTCATATGTGTTGTTTTTGGTAACAGAAGTGGATTTAAGGCCGATGATTCAGAGGGATTCAAAGGCTGGAAAAGGATGACCCAAGTGTTAAAGTGTCAACCCACAGTAGGCTCTAATATAAGAGATATTTGCCTATATGAATTCTTTCTTGAACACCTACCGTCATAGCTGGGAAATGCTGCTCATTTGTTGAATAGATAAGGGCAGGCTTGCTTTTTAACAGCTCCCTAGTCTCTGCATTTAATATAATACAAATCAGAAGACAGGAGTCTGTTTAAGATGGTATAAAATGTTGACAGCAGTTTTATTTTATCTTCCTCAATTATTTTTGTAAATATTTTTTTGAAGTTACTATTAAAAAAAAAATCTGTTTAAATCTGTGGCACAGTGTTTAACAGTGGCATGTAGGCTTTTCTGGAAATTATTCAATCAAATTTGTTAATGTTCTTATATGCTCTTCTCAAAGATGTGTTTCCAAGCTCTTCATTCCTATATTGAGACACTTTTCCCCCTCACTCTTATGCTATCAGCTGTCAGTTATCACTGATCAGATGAATTTTTATGGTTGTTCAAAATATAACATTCCTTTCTACACTAAGACAAGGAGCTTTCCTAGAGTACACCAAGTTTCTAATACCTTGCCAAGGTACAGTATTGCTTTGAGATATTGTAGAGGGTTTATTTCATTGGAATTTGGATGCCTATATTGGCTGTATGTTCTTAATATCATACTTTCCAACCTTCTGTAACTCAGGATTTGGTTATTAGCCCATAGCTGCAGCAAGTTCAAAGATAATAAAACATTTTTAGCTCATCTCTGTAGACTCTTATTTGCATGCATCTTTTATTAAGTGATCTGTGAATAATGCTATTTATTGTTGTTACTTGTCAGCTAGTGTTTTGGGAATGGTTAGGTTTTGAAAAAGAAGTAGGAGAAATGAGTGGTAATGCAAGGATGTCAGAGATGCAGATGCTCTAGATGACTAATGAGTAAAATAATTGTGATGCTGGAAGTTGATGCTCTGCTAGGATGCTTATATTGTTATTTTTGTATTTTCAGTTGGGTGTTGGGAGTGGCATTAACAACCTGTTATGGTTTGCAACACCATTTTTGAATGGTGATTTGGTACGTAAATGTCTACTCCCTCTCTAGGAAAAGAAGAGGAAATAGTAACCATTTCCCCAAGAGCACTATTTGTTTCAAAGAAAGGATATACATTTTTAGCAGCAGGTAAGATAATGTGTTATTAATATTCTCAGTTCTGTGAGGTCGTCTTCCCCTCTTCTTTGCATGTCATTATATTTTAGAAGGCTGTCAGATCCCTCAGTATCAATTAATATTGTTATGCGATGTATACTCCTTAGTGTGATTTAGATGTGGATGATTTGTAAGCCTTGTCAGTAGAAACAGAGAGCTAACAAGATTAACTGACACCCAAAGATAATGAAGGAATTGGGCACTGTGTGATCTGTAGCTGGACTGTAACTCTTTAAGGATGTGTTTTCTATAGCTGTGCTGCTGCTGTTGTTGTTTTTGTGTAGAGCAAGAGGAAATGACTGAGCAGTCCAGGCTTGTATTTTGATTTGTAATAGTTTGGTTAAAATGCAAACATTTTTATTTAAGAGCAATAGATTTATTTTAACACTCTGTTTTCTAGATTTTTCCCATATTGAATTAAGGATCCTTGCTGACTTATCATCTGAACCAGAGCTTCTGAAACTGTTCCAAGAACCTGAAACCACAGATATCTTTACCACACTGGCTTCTCAGTGGTAAGAGTAAATGTTGCAATTTGACATATTTATTGCCCCAAACCTATTGTATTACTGTGTGGTGATAATAAAAACAATATTTTGTTACAGTATCTATTGTTAATCTAATAGTGTTTTAACACTGGGAGTAATAATTCCCTTCTGTCTTTCTGAGCCTTTTCTCCTCAACTGTTGTTAATGATGTGTGCCAAAATGTTATAATCCAGCTGACAAGTATAATCCTTGAGACTAAAACTGGTGCAATAACATATTCTGCATAGTGCATGCTGATAAGTTTCTCACTATGTAATTGTTCGCCAATACTTTTTTTAGAATTCCAGAGCAGCATTTAAGTAGGGTATGTGTCTGAAACATTGCAGAACAGTTTTTCTTAGTAAAAGTAAAAACATTCTTGAAATCTGGTTGATTATTCAATAGCAGTATTGGCATCAAATTTTATATGTACAAGAAATATGTCTAGATCTCATGGGCTTCCTTTCAGCTCATAAGATTTAGTGCTTCCATCTTCTGATGGATGATGTGTGATACTTTGAAAAAGTGGTACATAGTAATTTAATAAAGAAGTTTCTTACATCCATTATTGTTTACTGATCTCTTCAGCATGCAGACCAATAGATCATCTATCCAAAAAGATAGAATATTAGTTACTTAGCTGTATGAGAGTGTTTCTTATTACTGCTTTTATTAAAAGTGTATGCTGGTATTCACTTTCCATTCAAAAGTGCATGGGCACTCAATAGACGGACAGGATAAGGATAGATCTTACAGAGACAGGGAGATAGATCATACAATTTGAACATACAACACTGGTAAAGATCCAATAAAATAATATAACATGTAAGCAGATTGAACAGAATCAAGTCATGTAAATGCCATGCAATTTTCATATTTTCTCTTCGCTTCTGTTTTTTTTTTTTTTTTTTTTTTTTTTTTTTAATCCCTGTTTTTGTTGGAAAATTGCTAGCTGAAAAAAATGAAAGCAAAAATAGATAAGATGAATTCATCAGTCCTGATCTAGCTCAATCCAAATTCTACAGTTTCTAAATTTCTACTCAATGTGTTATTTGCTAATATACACTGAAGTAGTAAAAACAACATATTTTTTAATTGTCCTGCTACCAACAACTGAATCTGTGCTTGAGACATTCACATACAGTCTGGGAAACACAAGTCAAGGACACAAACATCCCAACAAATGGAGCTATGGAAAGATCACCTTTTTCTTTAAAGTCACTTAGAAGCTTCTATTGACATTATGATCAATTCTTAGCTCTGACATATCACTAGAACCTCGTGATGGAGTTAAATCCTTTTTTTAGTTTGGAGGTATATTGCAAATGTATGCATGAAGATGAGTCAAATTTTGTCTCAACTCTGGGCAAAGCTCCAGAAATACTATTCTATTCAGCAACCTCACAGCTTTTGGCAGCCATCAACTTCTTATAGTTGCTACACAGTAACTTTAAATTTAATGAAATATTACAGGCAAATATTTTATCAGACAGAAGTGTCATGGTGTGTCTACAAAATCATTACATAATGATTCCTGCTGACTCTTCCTTTAAGCTTCAGGAAAGCTAATTCTTGGAAGTAACTACTGAATTTGTTATATGACATTAATTACAGAAGCATGAAGGTTGGATTTCCTCTGTTCTAACCTTGGATGCCTGTTATATACCTGGTGAGATTAATTTGGCCTATTGTTGATGCCCCCTATGTAGTAGATCAATTGCATGTTAAAAGTGTTGATTTCTCACTACAGTGTAGGTCTGGGATGGCCAGCTCACATGTAGACATCCATTTTGTCATCTATCCACTGTTCTGACAAATTTAATTCCTCCTATTGGATCAGTTCCTAGTGAACTTACACTGGGTTTTGGAGTTTTGTCCTTAATTTATTAAACCCTAAAGAGAAGAGACAAAATCACGAGCTCCACAGATATCTTCCCATTCCAGATATTTATTCATCTTTCGTAATCCACATTTTTAATTAGTGGAATATGACTGGTTGCTAGGGGAATTGTGATATGGCAGAGCAAATTTGGATTTCAGAGGAATGTTAATGGGTAACACCAACTCTGAGAGTATAGTTTTGAAATTAATTTTCTATTTTTTTTCCTTGTGAAATAGTAATTTGCAAATGTGGACTGAGTAACTGAATACGTATATAGACCCTTTATTTAATACCTAATTTGCCTGTATAGATATGTATTTGTGTATTTATTCAAGTCATGTCAAAAACCAGGAGATTTAACAGGATCATAACTGCAAAGACAAAAGTAGATCAGAGAAACAGCTATGTATCCTTGTTTTGAATGTAGTCAATGCTAGAAAAGTTTGAAAACAAAAATATCTACTAGGTAAAATAATTAACTAGTTATTTGAACGTAGAAAAGGTCTCAAGATACAGAATTTAATTATTGTGTAATATGGTAGCTGTACAAACGTTGCTTTAGAAAACATAGCTAAATAATGTGCTTTTAGAAAAAAAGTCTTGTGTGGTTTGCATGAAATACACACACACAAACATCTCCCCCTCTCATTGCTATTAGAACAAGGAAGGAAGAGGAAAACAAACTATTTTATCTCCCCTTGGTCTCCTGATTTTTATTAGGTCTTAATCCTGGGGCTTTAAAATCTGTGCAAGGGATATACCAAGTGGTATACTAAATGTTTATTCTGTTTGAAGGGATTGCTGTTTGTAAATCTTTTCTAACACATCTTGGAAAGCCTTGACCATTTTTTTTTTTTTCTGAAAGAAATCAATAGAGAATGAATTAGTTTCAGAAGCTTGTTCTGAAGAAAAAATTTAAGTTTATGTCAGTGTCTGATAGCATTCCAGCTTCTGAATGTGTGTCAGATATCTCTTAGCAGGTTTTCTGCATCTAAAAATCCTTAGACTATTAAATATTAAAACATAAATAATATATTGACAATATTTGATTTTTATATTGACAATATAAAATCTTAGCCACATCCCAGAGACAGTCCAAGATTCATACCAGTTTATTCACTTATATTATATATTTAAGCATTATGACTTCTTCACCTAAATCTTAATTCCATTACTTAGATATCCTTCATGCTAAAGTCTTCTATCTAAAATGTAATCTTTTAAAAAAATTTTATAGTCTTTTTTTTAGCTTTTGGTGATGAATATACATGATGGGCAGTTTCTACCAAGAGGTTAGCAGTATGACTTTCTGAATGAATTAAGATCTCTTACGTATAAAAGCTTTTGTTTCTTAATTTGGTTGGGTATGCTCTACCAGGATTCAGTCCATCTCTGGGACGTAGAGATGTCTGCCTTGGAAACCTGTTGGATTGATATTTCTACTAACCAGTACTTTTATGCCATCTTTACACTAGTCAACAGTGCAGTGTAGAGATGCACAAATGTATGTCAACCCAAACAATGCCCATGCATCATGGCAAGAGGCTGAAAGAAGCACTAACTCAGAAACTGAAGTTCAGTGTCATGTGCAACGCCATACCCAGCCCAGTAAACCTAGCTGAGAGGCAATGCTCTGCAGAAAACCAGGCTGTAACCTTGTGCTCCTGTGGCTAGTTTATGGGGAGAGCCTGTTTAGTCTGAATAAAAAGAGACGGAGTGGAGACCTCATTGCTTTCTATAACTACCTGAAAAGCAGTTGCAGTGAGGAGGGTGTTTGTTGGTCTTTTTTCTCAGGTGACTAGTGATGGGACACGAGGCATCAGCCTTACCAGGGGAGGTTTAGATTGGATGTCAGGAAGAATTTCTTCACAGAAAAGTGATTAGGCATTGGAAAAGGCTGCCCAGGGAAGTGGTGGAGTCACTGTCCCTGGAGATCTTTAAGAGATGTGTGAATGTGGCATTTAAGGCCATGGTTTGGCAGCAGACTTGTAGTGTTAGGTGGATGGTTGGACTTGATGAGCTTTAAGTTTTTTCCAATTTAAATGATTGTATGAGTCTACCGGTCTCTTCATATTCTTCATTTGTCACTCTTCAGTAGGCTGATGTTCCTCTGCCGTAGTGTATACTGCTATAGGCCATACTGAGTCAAAATCCAGGAAGAGTATCTTGATTTAGCTAAGCACTTAAGCTTGCAATAAATATGTCCTGCCTTCCTGCCTGTGTGCTTTTTTGAGATGGGGATAGTACTGCTTCAGTACTCAAGCAAATTCTTGCCTCTTTCTTGCTATTCTTCAATGTGTGGGTAAATCCTTTCCCCTGCTTCTTTAGAGTTTTTCTTAGAGAGCTGGAGATCCAGTCAGATGTGATCTGAAATCCATACCTGAAGACACCTGCTTGATAGGTTTTATTTTATTTTGAAAAACGTGAACAGGATTCACTCTTTTTAAATGGCAATGGTGTCCAGCTTTTGTACAATAGCTAGGTGCTTAGAGACTTCAGTTCAACTTTTTTTAACCTTCAAGCATTCAAATCTTTATCTGTCTCATTTCAGGAAGATACAGAGCAAAGTTAGACTGTGTCTGAAAGCTTCTCCACTCTGTGCTACTTGTTGCAGCTGAGATTCTGTTGAGCAAAGACTGTAAAGTTGAAATAATTGGATTTGTTCAGCTGAGAAAAGATAGGATTTAGGAGAAATATGATAAAAATCTTCAAATATATCAAAGTTGTTGCAGAGAGTGAACAAAGCATAATGAATGAGCTTACACTGTGGTAAGAGATGTTTTGGTTAACATTGATAAAGATTTTTAATAGAAAAAGTAAATAAATATGGAGATGGTTTACTTATGGAGACAGTGGAATATCTATCACTAGAAGGAATGAGTCAATCAGATATTTCCAAGGACAGCTGAGGTGGCTTTTCATTCTCCCTCAGAACCATGTTTTTATGGCCTTATGATTCAATATCTAAGTTGGATTTGTGAGGCCTGGAAATTAGACCATGCTTTAACATGTCACTGGGAGGAAGAGTTGTCTGTGAATCCTACCAAGTGAAGAGAGAACTGAGTTGCTGGCCCTTGGTACCCTGAAAAATATTTCAAGGTGGTAT